TTGCATCTTCCGTGATCCGCGTTTTAAAAGCAGAAAGTTTACAGAGTTCACTCTGAAGTGGAATTGTCCTTAAAGGCTTTATTGTATTTTGGTCCGTGTTTTCCTTCTCTGTGGTCGTCTAAATCGTACGACCAGCTGCAGCCCTCAGACAACTCTCTCTGCGCAGGAACACAAGGTCAGATGTGACACAGAAATAAAGTCACTTTTTTAGGCGGCGCGTTATAAATGTTCCCGTTTCAGACGTGTTTTGATTTTCATTTTCACAGCTAGAAAAATAGGATGACATTCAAGTGGTCGGCGTGGAAGTTTGAGGTCTCGTTTTCAGTTCTTCAATATCTGTCATGCTGCAATCAATCCATCAATCAATCAAACATCATTTTCATTGTTTGTTTGTTTTTTAATATAAATAAGAGTCCAAAGTGATCCCTAGGGTAAAATGGCAAAAAGAAACCAAACCAAAAAAAACACTGATTTGATTCATGAAGCACAAAAACTTAAGGCTCATAAATAAAGACAAAGGGAAACAGAAAGGAAGGAAGAAAATTGGGAATTTATAAATGAATGAAATGAAAATTCAAATTGTTAAATTAAAAAGATAAGACAGGAAATCTAATACAATTCTAAACACAATCAACAAATATAATGAAGTTGACATTAAAATTAGTTAGATCAGCTTTCAACTGTCCACTATCTATTTATGTTACATATACATACATACAAATGGATGGATGGATGGATGGATGGATGGATGGATGGATGGATGGATGGATGGATGGATGGATGGATGGATGGATGGATGGACTGATAGGTTTTCAGTCTGACACTGTCTCCTCTCATCCCAGACAGTTCATTTGATAGGAACTGTTTCCCTCCTGTGGTGGAGGGACAGAAATGCAGCTCATTTATTCTTTGGTTTCCTCACTGGTTATTTGACTTCCTGAGGTTGGACAGTGAACTTCACCACGGCAGATAATTCTATAAAATCGAAATCCAAATACTATGGTGGGGGGCGTTATCCTCACCACGGCAGATAATTCTATAAAATCTAAATCCAAATACTATGGTGGTGTGTTTTATCCAGTAAGTGTGAGGAAATCACCCAACATTCTGTTTGTCCTCTTTTGTCCTTTGCTGCAGACACCTGCCACCTGTCCCACACTGACACGTAAGCCAACGTCCTCTCACCCCAACTTATCATCAACACCTTGCTGGTTCTCACGAAGCCTCCAATCACATCAGAGCGGTGGTGCAGCGGCTGCCATGTGGCAGGAACCCGAGGCAGCAGAGAGGTGACGCCACCATCTGACCAGAGTCAAACTGCCGTTAGAGTCTGCTGCTGGTCGTCCCTCCGTCTGTCCTTCTGTCCCACTGTCAGTCCCAGCACTGAAACATGCTGACCGCCGTGATTCTGCTGGCCTTCCTGCTTTCTGCTGCCGCTGCCACAGAGAAAGGTAAACCATTTCACAGCACAAATAAACGATTAACTCTGCTGCCGTGATCTTTACAGGACCGACGGCAGGGATGTCTTCGCCAATGTTTGATTTTCTGAAAAAGATTTCAGTTCAAATAGAATCACATGTTAAAAGTAAGATATAAATACACATATCAGTACACAAACACATAATAATGACCAACTGGCCGTGGACCGCCGTAGATCGATAGAAAAAATACTTGACGGTGTTTCGAGGCATGTACAGAAGGAGTGACAACTACACTGACTGTGTTGTGCAAACTGTGGTTAATTGAGGGAATCTAACGCACTCTTGTTGTTGTACTGTTTCTCAGACAGCGCCCCCCTCAGGCTGAATGACACCAAAGCTGCTGAAGCGTTCATTGACTCTGCTGAAGTGGTGGTCGTTGGATTCCTGGAGGTCAGACATGTCAAACACACTCAGATAAGCTTCCAGACACATTTTCAAACAACGCCTCGTGGAGTCGATCTAACGGCTCGCTTTACACGGTTAACACACACGTGGCCCTCCAGGCAAGATCGCACACACACACACACACACACACACAGTCGCTGGGAGTGAGACAATGCTAGCTCCAAAAATACTGCATGTTTTCGCACCCATGTGTGGGAGAGACGCTGCTCTCACGAACGGATTTTCGAGCAAAGATGTATTTCCTGTGGCCCCACCTTTGGCAGCGCTGGTGCTATGAGGACAGAGGTTGGCTGACTGTCCCGCTGAGGCGAGACCTTTGGCTCGTCTCAGTGCTGGGGGAAGATGGCTGGCCACTGGACAGGAAATACACTCTCTGATGTCCTGTGGCATTGGCTCCGTTGACTCTCACCAAAACAAGTGCAGATTCGGAGCAGGTTCATGAGAGGAGAATGGAAAATTGCGGAGGAGTAGCAGGAGAGCGCACGAGGATAACATGCAGTTGGACAGTAATACCGAAGCCAAAAAAGGGACCAAAACATTGGTGCTGTGACTCACAGTGAATAAAGACACATTAGAGGCCGCGAAACGATAAAACCGGTTTCCAGAGCTCGTGCAACGGAGAATCAGAAATAGACATGATTCATCTTTCTCTGAGTCAGCCTGGACTCTCTTCCTCTTTGTCCTTTGTTGTTTTCCCTCGCCGTCTGTGTCACCTGCACTCGCTTTTCAAATTCACTTCATTTGTGCCGACTTTTAAAAGAGACTGTCAAGATATCATAGCACGTATCAAGGGTTTATACTGTGTGTATATAATGTCTAGTAAAGGTTCTCCTCTTTCTTTTTCACACAAATCCCTGACAACAGCTGAGTCTCACTCTCATTTACATACGAGTATTTTGTTTTGTTTGTTTTGTTCTCATTTACATACGAGTATTTTGTTTTACTTCTTCTCGCTTTAATCTTCGGCTGGTTCCCCTCTACCTGCTCCACACTCTCACCACAGATTCAAATGCCACCCTGTCAACCTGTCAATCACAAATTCAAACAGGAAGGAGCCCAGTGCTGATCAATGATTTTACCCCATTCCTAATTTGAGCCCATCTGTCACTCACACTGCACATTTTTACACTGTCTCACTATTTTATGTGAGTCTTACACCACACTCATGTACTTTTCTGCTACTCCTGATCTAAGTATTAGATGCCTTGGTTAAAAAAAAGACCAAATGTATTATTTTTTTTTATTAAATAA